TCATCTCCGCAGGCAGCAGGCCTGGAGGACCTGGCCTAATACAATGTTTCACAGAAACAATTTGAGTAGTTTCTTCTTTTTAGATGGGGCCCAGGCCTGGCAGACTGCAGTTCAGCTGGCTCCATCTATTGGCAACAAGCATTTGATGTATCACTGTATCTCCCTAGGGACACTTCTTCCATCCTCATTTGGAGCTATAAGCAAGCTTGGAGTTAAAAACAACCCATCCACTGCACTGCTATTCTTCCCAGTCTCCTATCCTGGGGGCTAGCACAGGCCTTGGGATCCATTTTTGTGGGCCTCCTTTGTGAAATCATTGGCAGGCAGCGCCACTGTACCAGGACCTGTTCTTTCTTTCTTGCAAAGCTGAATCCCACCTGCCCTCTGAACGAGAATGCTTTAGCATCAGCACAGCACATGATGAGGCTGCTTCTGGAGAACATGGCCTTATGGGTTGGAGAAGATGCAGCTTTCTCTAGACTAACTCTCATGGCGGAGAACATAGAGACCTCAGGGTACATTTACAGCACTGTAACAGGGTCCTCCCCCACACATGCTTGAAAACCCAGAAATGTACCAGTGAAGAAGCCCTTTGGTATCCATCTGCAGCTGCTCTTGTGACCTTGGTCTCTGGGATCTCTGAGTGCAGCTTTCTTGGCATATTTCTGGGCTTGGAGGAAGTGGGAGAGAAGTTGCTCATGAGCATCCAGGCTACAGCAGGCTACTGCTGCAGTGTAAATATGCCCAGTGTCCAGGATGCATCTTCCCACTGGTTGCTTAGGGTATGAGCAGATGAGTTAAAAGGAGGACGGGGGCCTTACCATGGACCAGTTCATCCACAGTAAACTCTTTCATGTATCTGCCTCTAGCCTGAGAATGAAACAACTGTCAAATCCCTGTGGTTTAACTTGCATTTACTATGGGCTAGAATGGACACACAAAACAATTACCACGGAGCAGCTGACATGCCGTGAGTCCCTCCCCTCTGCTTCAGCTCGGACAGACGTGTTTGTCCAGCCACACCCTGAGGCTGACTGAATGAAGTTATTCCTGTTCTGGAAAAGCTCTCTAGCACTTTTTATTCAGGCTTCAGTGAGTCAAATCCTCTTTCTGCAGAAGTCAGAGGGAAGGAGCTTCACCTCTCTCCAGAGGCCAAAGTTCAACATCACCCACTCTTCCAGAATAGAGCCAGCCCCATTTTCAACAGAAAGGGGGAAGAAAGGAGGTTTTCAATAGAAGGTGTTTTGGCTCCATCCCGTGGGCAAAATCATGCATTGCAGTTTGGAGGCACCAACCCTTGGGCCAGGCTCCCTGCTAAGTGTGGCAATTGCTGGTGCGGGGTTAAGTACCTTTTGGTGCCCAAGCCTTGCCTGTTGCTGTTGGAATATGTTCCCTTTCTGGGTTCAACAGGTGCAAGCCTATTCTCTCTAGCTAATGAAAGCTCCACTGTCTGTCCCCTCCCTGTTCATAGTGGGAGGGGGCTGTGCTGCTTGGTCCCCAGCCTCATGGTTTTGTGACTCCAACTTGGGGCTGGAGCAGAAAGGAGAACACAGGCTGGGATGGTCATAGAAACTCAAGGGAATGAGATGCCTACTAGGGCTGTGTGAAATTTTGCCTAGCATTTTGTTTCAAAGCTGTTTCGATGCATTTTAAGCTTAAAACAGTGAAATTGAAACAAAAGAAAAGCCTTCAAAACAGCTTCAAAATGAAACAAAGGAACTTGAAACATTTCAAATGTTTCGAGTTTTGAAGCCAGGCTTGCTGGCTTCAGCGCCAGTCCCAGCTGGCAGCACCCACCTCCTGTCACCTGGCAGGCAGATTGGGGCTCGCCCACACCCCTGGGAGGGCTGCGGGGGCTGTGCCAGAGTCCTGCCTGTCAGATGAGACTAGTGGAAGCTCCATGCCGCTGCTGGCCCCAGGCGGCAGCACCTGGCTTTTGTCACCTGGCAGGCAGATTAGGGGCATACACCGCCAGGCTCTGCAGCGCCCTCGGGGGTGCTGGCAGGCCCCCGATCTGCCACCCGGCTGATAGGAGATGGGTGCTGCCACCTGGGGCCAGCGACAGTCAGGGCTGTCCCGGGCAGGGAGTGAATCGGGGTGACCGCCATGGGCCCCGCACTTTGAGGGGCCCTGTGGAGCCAGGTGGAGTGGCCGTGGTGACTGCACTGCTGCTGGCTTTGTGTCTGGCCACTTGCATCTGGCCCTCGATCCGAGGAGGGTGTGGGGCCTGGGGCAAATCAGTTTCTGCGGGGACCTGCCCCTGCCCTGATCCTGAGCGCTCTGGATGCAAAAAAGCCGCCCCCATTATCGGCGGCAGCAGTGGTGGGGGGGAGTGAGTGGCCAGATGTGCAGCTGGCAGTGGTGGTGGCGCAGAGTCACCACGGCCACTCCACCCACCTCTGCGGGGTCCCCCAAAGTGCAGGGCCCATGGTGGTTGCCCCGATTTGCCCATCCAGGAGGCAGCACCCATCTCCTGTCACCTGGCAGGCAGATTGGAGGCTCACCGGCACCCCTGGGAGGCCTGTGGGCTCTGTGCTGGAGTCCTCCCAGTGGAGCCCCTGATTTGCCAGCTGAGTGACAGGAGCTGGGTGCTGCCACCTAGGGCCAGTGGCAGCACCGATCTTCCCGATGGTGGGGCTGTGCCCAGCTCCAGTCTGTCATCTGGCAGGCAGATCCAGCACAGCCCCTGCAGCCCTCCCGGGGGTGTGGGCAAGCCCCGATCTGCTTGCCTGCTGCTTTTTATGTTTCCCCGTAATAACCTATGGGTGAAACATCAAAACAGCATCGAAACACCAAAACAGTTGTGACAAAACGAAATGGAACAGTGCTTTTGAAATGAAACAAAAAGAAATGAAACTCGAAACGAAACACTTCCGTCGAACCATTAAAACAGAAGTCAAATCGGAGCGGTGCTGTTTCGCACAGCCCTAGCCCACCTCGTCCTGGATATCTGCATCAGGCACTCCACAGGGTCAGGATGTTTCAGGGCAGTGGTTCCCAGTCTCAGATGTTCCTTGGCTCCCTGGCCAAAAACTGGCTCTTACTCATCTCTAATACAACCCCTGACTAGAAGCTGAACAACCTATTTAGCTTGGGTTAATATTTCAAGCGACCTCCCTTCAGTGTGCCCTCAATGTGCTTTGCACAGTATTTGCTGTAACCTGAGGTGCAGGGAACCCTTCTGCTGCAAGAATCCAGCCATTCATTGAGTGTCGATGTGTGCAGTACACTGTTCAGCTGCTTGGCAGCCACCCCTCTCTGGGCTATCACACCTGACCCTGCCATTTCTGCCATCTTGCTTCCTGATGCATTCTCAGAGCAGCAAGGTGTCTAATGTCTGGGCCCACATATCAAATGCAGGTCATGTGGGAACACTGGTGGCTTTGGTGCAGGTAGGGGAAGGGGCACAGTTATAGCGGGTATCTCAAGCCAGCCCCATAGTCTCCTTTCAGCACTCGTATGTCCAGGAGCCATCTTGGCAAGGGATCCCTGGCAAAGAGGACCTGTTAAGTAGGGGTGTGAGGACTGTGTGGAGGTTCTGGTCAGTGCTGAGCTCACAGAGCATCTGGGAGATGCTGCTGTACGTCAGGCCAGACAGCAGGGCTAATTCACACCAGGGGCTGTTCCAGCTCCCACAGGAACCCAGGATCAGCAAAGCATAAAAGGTGGCTTAAAGCTGTTTTAACCCTGGGGCTGTAAGTCATCCTTGGTCTCTGAGCCACACACAATACACCTGTGTGCAGGTTCTGGCTCCGTGGCAGGGTAGCTTGTTCAGGAAAAGGCCTCTTCTCGAGGTAGAGGAAAAATCAATTGTGACTCAAGATCAGGAGTCAGTAAGCTGTGGCCTGTGGCCTGCTGAGTATCTGGCCTGCAAAGTATCATCTGTATGGGGCTGGGAGGAAATTTCACACCCCCTTCTTCTGTTGCTACATCAGGGTTTTTTGGGTTTTTTTAAGCTTTCCTTAAAGGCACTGGCTGTTGGCTGTGGCCAAGGCTGGGGTGTGCCAATGCTCCTACTGAGACTTAAACCTGGAGGTTTCTGGCTAGAAGGTCTTGTCCCTCTGCTCTGAGTCACACTGATCGCCATATATAAAGTCATGAAGGAATTTTACCCCAGGGTCACATGGTACAGACGGGTGAGGGGGTGTGTGTTCTGCCTTCCCCTGCAGCGGAGGGCATGGCCCTCTTCCTGGGGTTTCTTGAATGTATATTAACAACCTTTATGGAAGCAGGGCATTGGCTACTGTTGTGCCCCTGCTTTACCTGTGGCAGGTTACGGTGTTATGTCTTGTGTTGTGTCAGGGTTGACTGTGCAGTTTTGCTAATAGATTAGAAAATGGATTTGTATAGGATGGTTTGGATAGGGGTGATCCTGGCTCAGGCAAAGGCTTGGACTAGATGACCTATGGAGGTGAGTTTCAACTTTGCTTCTCTACAATTCTGTGAGATTTTATCTGGTCAGGGCCTGCAGGCATCTGCAGTGGATCACCTTGGAGGAGGAGAGTAGTGAGCAGGCAGCAGGCTGTGTTTGGTAGGCTGGATCCAGCCCACAGAGACTTCATCCAGCCCACAAGCAAAGCCTGCTGCTCTTCTCCTCCTACCAGGATGCCCCACTGCAGATCCCTGCAGACCCTCTGACCCCACCCTCCCCCAGAGTCGGAGAGAAAGATCCACTGCCAGCAAAATGTTGCCAACCCTTGCCCTAGGTCATTCCTGCCCTGAAATGCAAGGCCAGCACTGTGCCCTCTGCCAGCTCTGATGCAGGACTGTCAGTCTATCTGCCTCATCAGTGGCTGTGTGCCCACCCAGCCATATGCTTAGGCAGACCCTCACCTTCTTCTGGTAAATGCACACCCAAGAGCTAAAGTCCTGGAGGGAGTGGGCAAAGAGGGAGACTGGGTACAGTATACTTTATGATGTGGCAATTGTACCAGGACTGAGATACCCATCTGCAGAGGAGCTGGGAACCTGTAGAAGAGACAGCAGTGACACAGTTCCCGTTTCAGTGTATTTATTAGCTACTTAGGTGAAGAGCTGCAATGCATCTCACAGAAAGGCCTCAAGGGAGCCCCCCCCTGCAGATCACACTTTTGGCTACCCTTGATAGCATGTGGAGCCTACAAGTACCTTTGCAAATAGGAAGTTTCTATTCACTGGGGGCTCTAAAAAACCTAACCCTAGTTTCTGGGTACACGTGCAGACACCACCACCGAAGAGAGCTCATTTCCCCCGCTTGCTCTCATGGCAGCCTGTCTGTCCTAAGTCCACATGCACCAGGCAGGTCTCTCACCAGGGAATAGGCTTCCCCAGCCAGTTCAAGAAGCTCCCATTATGTTTCTCGGAGAGGGCAGAGAGCACTGTGAGGATTCCTCGCACACTCTCATCCACAGTCAGGTCCGCCTGTAACAGTCAAACCAAGGTGTAGGTTAGCAACAAGACCTGGGTCCCTGTGATCTAACCCAGCTGTACAACTGGAGCACAAGCCAGGTGTAGAGCTGGTCAGTTACCATAGGAAAATTGAAATAATAGAAAATTGGGGTTGGGAGGGACCTCAGGAGGTCATTTAGTCCAACCCCCAAGTTATATGTGTAAGTACACCAGTGTGCACACTGCTTACAGAGCAAGCATTCATGGCTTTGGCTGTCAGTGCTGGGTCCTGGTGAGCTGTGGTTATTTGATGGGCTGGAATGCTCCCAGTGTCTGGTGTGGTTTGGGGCAGTCATGCACATAGGCTGTGCAGAGCATTGAGGGCTAGCTCATGACTACAGGCAATGTGATGAAACAGAAACCAAGTGACAACGGTGAGAAGGGAGTAGGTTACGAATCGAAATGGTTATAGAATCCATTAAAAAATGTACCTTCTCTCCTGTGAGGATAATGAAGGCGGCAAAGGGCCCAAATTAGTGCACTGATGTTTAATACAAACAGCATTTCATCCATGGTCCAGGCCTTCAAGAAACCCCTCCCACCACAGCAAGCCTGGCCTCTCAGATGTGATCCTAGGAACTTTCAGGCTGCCAGGAAGGAGGACATCCGAGAAGAGGCAGGTAGGAGCCTTCCCTGATCTGTCAGATTCCATATCATAGATGACCAGCCTTTCCCTGAGTACAGCTGGCTGAGAGCTAGGGTTTCCAGCTTCCCAAAAATGTCTTTCTTCCTTTTTACTTGCTTTTAAATTTGATCTGGTCTGAATCAGATGGGAACCCAATTTTTTTGTAATTTCTGAAGTAGAGAAAGGTCCCTGACCCTGCAGCTGCTCAGTAACACTGATGTTTTGTCAAAGAGTGAAACTGGCAAGAATGCCAATTTCATCAAGTAACTGCAATTGGTGAACAGGCTCCTGGATCCTGGGATGCAAGTGCCAGGCTTGTGTGTTCTGGGGTGGGAGTCCTGCAGCTACACCAGGGAACCAGGCTGGGTCCCCTCCCCAGATCCTGTTGATCCCAGGATGTTTCAAGAGAATTATGCTAAGGTGAAGTGAAGAGGCACTTTTTCTTTTGTTTGAGGGTTTCTGATCACCTCTACTCAAAACCTCTTCAACCCTGGACTGTGAACATGCTGGCAGGGCAGTGTCTCTGAGAATAGTGGTGACAGGGGCTGCACTGCAGCATGATGAGACTGTTTAGTCCCAGCTCAGCAGTGACTATTCACAGGTCACAAATTCAGAGTTCAAGGGCTCCAGGGAGCTTATGCCAATTGCCCTTCCTCCCAAGAGCAGGACCAATGCTCTCAGGGCTACTCGAATGAGAGTTTGCTAGGCCCCACATACAGGGAGCCCTTAGCATCCTCTGGCTCAGACACCCTCCCCATAAGCTTAGTACCCACCTCCTGGGTGCCCATGTCTGTTTTCACCCAGCCTGGGTGAATTGCAGCGCACAGAATCCCATCCTCTCTGTAGCTCAGCATCTGACATCTGGTTAGCATGTTAAGAGCAGCCTGTAGAAGGAAGTGATCATGAGCCTCAGGTTTTGCAACACGTTCACACTGCCTGTGTTCTTCAGCCACCAGGAGCAGCTGTATAGGCTCTGCTCGGTGACCGACCTTGGGTAGCATGGAAAACATGACAGAACCACAGAAACACCAGCAGGAGAGAGCACAGTGTGTGTACCTCCTCTGTGACAGGTCATGGCAGTGTGAAGACCAAAGTGGCTGCTTAATTCTGTCATAAAGAGATACTCAGGGCTCTGAAAAATGGTAGGAGTCTTGTCTACAGAAAGGAAGATTCCCCCTGAGTTTCAGACTAGTCTGTGATGTCAGTACTGCCTTTTGATAAACCTCACCTTGTAAAAGGCATCACAGCCTGGCAGAGTACATGAGCAATGGGCAGGAGCTCACTTACCAGTGGGAGAGCAGAGGGAAGCCGTGTGGGTCTGGAAGGTGTCATACCTTGCTGCAGCGGTAGGAAATGACAGGCTTGTAGAATGTTTCAGGGGATTTCTCGAGGGATGCCAGGACTGTGGAAATGTTGACAATGGCTGCCTTCCTACAGCTCATTCCTTTCTCGGGGCTTCCCTGAGCAGCCTTCTTCAGCAAGGGCAGGAAGGCCTGGGGAAAAAGTAGTCACAAGGTGGACCTGTGAGGAGCTGATGCACTTCACACTACCTCAGCCTCATTCAATCATAATGTCCCACACTGTATTTAATCACATTAAACCCAGGAATGTCAGGGGGAACACACTGACAAGGCAGAATGTGGGAGGTTTTTCAATGAGCCCCAAATTTTAACCTTCCCTGTGTTGGTGCAACTTTGCTGCCTCTCACTGGAGGAAGTTCACAGCCCCAGGGCTTATTCAGGAGCATGACTGGGAGCAGAGGCCTGGGTTCTGTTCATGCTTCCTCCCTGTCTCAGTTTCCCCATCAGGGATATGAGGATCTTTGCAAAGTGCTTTGTTAACTGTAGATGACAGAATCCAGAACAGCACTTAAATGGTAAGAAGCTGTGTGGCTAAGAGGAATAATTAGTCTCAGACCCTCCTCCCAAATGCTTCTGACCCACCTGTATGAAGTAGCTTGAAAGTATAAATATCCCATCATAGTTGGTTTGATTTAGCTTCATGGCTTGTTTTTGATTTAAACCCTGAGATTCTCAGGTGCTGAAGGATGCACTGTCAATAAGTTCTCTTTCCACTGATGAAATGGGGACTCATATTTGTACTATCTACAATAGTGGTACCCAATCTTTTCACCCTACCCCTAATCTGTCCATCTGGGATGGGGTAGGGGGAAATCTGGACATGTGGAGCAGTGTGGAACAGCCTGGCTCTTATTTGGATGCACAGGGGGAAGGAGGGGTGGAGCATCTTGGCCCTGACCCATATATGTGGGCCAGGTAAGGGGAAATGGGAAGCAGCCCAGCCTGATCTGGATGGATGGCCGCAGGCCTGGCCCTGTTCCCGCTGTGCAGGATTGCCCCAGGCAGGGCTGGATCCTGCCACATGGAGTTTCCATCACTCCCCTGCTGTCAAATGCTCTGGCCCGTGGGGATCAGTGGCTCCATGAACCAGAGGCTGAGCACCTCTGATCTACATGATCATCTCTGCTGGAACAGAGCAATGGGCCTTACAGAATCTCTAGCTGCCGCAGCACTGTGCCACATAGGTGTTTAATAGGTGCTCTCTGCTCCGTGACAGAAGTTTTGTGGGACAGAACTAGCCTCATATGTAATATAAATAAAAATGAACTGGGCATATGTTAACTGCTCTAAAGAACACAAACAACAACCTAGCAGAGAAGTGCAAAGAATCTCCCCTCCCCAGTGATGGGGATAACACAGCCAACCAGCTGATGTTACCAGGTAATGGATTACTGGGATCTCTACTCTCTAGAAAGAGAGCTTGGACCTGACTGATCTTTCTCATTCGTTCTAGCCTAAAGCTCTCTTCAGCTCTCCATATTTCCATCTATCCCAGACTCCTCCCTTTTCAAGACCCTTCTGTGGGAGCTCTGCAGTGTTACCTTGGCTGTTAGCAGTGGCCCAACCAGATTAGTCTTGTATGCATGCACCATCTCTTCAGAATCCACAGTTTCCAGCGTCACCTTTGAGTAAACACCAGCATTATTTATTAACAGATTCAGACCCAAGCCATTCAGCTGATCTTCTACCATCCTTGCTGCCTCTGTAATGCTTTCAGGATTCAGGACATCTGCAAAGACATAGGATTGGGCTGAATTCAGCAGCATATCTCCCTGGAGTGAGGATTACCCCATTCCTTTCCAGGGGCTCAGTAAGTAGTCCCAGTTCATCCTATTCCCATGTAGTTAGGAGCACTCTGTTAGGCCTATTTGGTGAACCATGATCCAGAGAGATCACATTCTTAACTCACTGCACAGACTTAAGTCTTAAAGCAACCTCTACCCAGACAAGGGCCTCAAGACACTCTGTAGTCAATCAGTGCCCTGGGAAGATTCTTCCCCCTCAGGGCTTAGTTTCACTCAGCTGTGACTGATCCTTTTCCCCGTAGGAACTGCATTTTCAGCTTTGGAATTGGGGCTTTCTTCTTCCTGGGGTTGAGGAATTCCCCACAGATCAATGGAGACAGAATAGGTACCAAAGATTCCCTGCCCTGCAGCCTGTGTCACCTTGGCCTGAGGGAATGGATTCCTTTCTTCTCTGCAGGTAGCCTTGGGAGTGTCCCTGGGCTAGCCTCAGGAGGGTTCAGATCCTCAGAGGCACCAGGGAGGTGCAGCAGCCCAGGACAAACAGCCACTTTAGCATTCCACCAGTGCCTGGCACACTGTCCACTCCAGCACGTGGAGTTTTTGGAAGTAAAGTATGTTTGTCTTGTAACTTGAGGAGGAGAGAAATTAAAGGAAGATAAGAAATAAATCTGTACCCTTGATTCACCCCAACATGTGACAGAGCACTCCTGGACTGTGCTTCCCACTACGCTAATGGTGTTATCATTCTGCAGGCACCAGATGGCGTTTGCGGCCGGTAGAAGTCCCTGCAGTGTCTTGGCCCAATGCATGGCTGTTTCAAGGATCTGAGAGTGCTCTTGAATTTCCCTAACATAAATGACCACTTACCCAGAGTTATTGCACTATTGGACTAGGTCCCAGGGCTGCCTTCCATGCTAGATGTAGGGCAAGATGGGGTTCAAATTTACTACTAGCTCAAGTTGATGCATTTGAGTTGGATAGGCAGCAGTGAAGGCAGCCATGCTGTGAAACACCTCAAAGCTGCATAGGGCAACTGTATTAGTAGGGCAGCAAGCTGCTGTAACCTGAGCAGCGATGCCCTACTAGGACAAGCAGCAGCAACAATTGAGCATCAAACTCTCCCTGCCCTGCCAGGCTGGATAGCTTGAGCTAAATCACTTCACACACACCATGAATTGTGTGTGTTGCACTGGGGGTAAAACATGAACGATACTTCATCCTAATGAGGGATGATTAGACACCCTGTTGTAGTAACTGCTGACAAAACACTAGCTCTGGAACAGCAGCCCTCTGCTGGGATGGGATTCTTAAATATATTTGTTTGGAAGGTTGCAGGCTTTGTGTGTGGACAGCAGCCCCCACACTGCACTGTACGGAAGCGGGAGAAGAGCAGAGTTCCTAGAGGTCACTGAAGAGGGCTGGTGCCTACTCCAACCCTCTCTAGGGGCTTGCTTTGAGGGGCCTTTATCCTGTCACCTACAGCTGCAGAATGTGAGGCTGCAGTTTCTAACCCACATGTTCTGCCCACCGTTTTCCAGGAACCCGCTGGTTATGATCTCACATACAGGGAAGAATCCTTCTGCACAGCTGCTTGCATCCTTTCAGCTGTTTGGCTTGATGATCATCCCTTCAGGTCAAACAAACTCAGTGTCCCAGCCATGTGCTCTGTCCTCAGAGACCCTTAGCTCCCTCATCTTGCTCACGTGGCTTGGCTGTGTTCTGGTTGTCAGCATCATCAATGTGGCATTTATACACACAAGCAAGAAATAGAGTCCTGGCTCCCTGCCAAACCCACAGCCATAAAGAATGGAGATACCGTAGGAAGGGAGCAGATGGGACCTTGGAGAGCAGATCTCTGGGTGGGCACTGGGATAAGATCTTGGGAACCGAGTGGCCTGGAAAGATTTTGGGAAGCTGACCTTGCAGCTGTGCATGGAGGTCTAAGGAATGCAGGGCTGCTTCCCAGTGTTGGTAGTTAAACAAGGGACCTGTTTTGGGGGAGTCTGGTACATGTACAGGGAAAGGACAGAGGGGATGGGAACAGAAACAGCCCGAGAGGGAGAGTCTCAAAGCGCTGTTCAGAGACAGACACTTACCAAGCTTCACCAGGACCAGGTTCGGGTGTCTGGAAGCCAGGTTCCTCAACTCCTGAAAACAGGAACATGGAAATCATGGAAAGAAGTGGCACAAGGCAGTGTTGATACAGGTTAGTGGGCCCAGAACTAAAACTCTGGGCTGTAGTGCTGGAGTCTGTCTCCCTCATCACAGAGGGCAACAGATTGCTGCACAACTGCTCCTACAAGCTTGAGTGTGGGTGGGAGTATCAGATTATGCATACATGTAGATACTGCTAACAGCTGCCTGCTTGTTGTCATTAGCTGCTACAGACCATCTGAATGGTACGCAATCACTGGCTTGCAGATCAGGGACTGGAAGGGGAAAGCTGGGCCTGATCCTTGGTCCCAGTCCTTCTGAAGTCAAAAAGAATCTTTCCATTGACTTTAGTGGGAGCTGGATTAAATGCTGAGACAGCTCTTTACAAAAGGAACATTCCCTGTCTCATAGGACACATGGTCACCCTACACCAGTGGTTCTCAACCTTCTAAGATTTGAGGCATGCCTCAATATACTCAAGGCAGTCCTTGGAAAATGTCAGCTCTTAGTTTGCACTCATTTTTTGACTACAGAAAAATACTAGAGCAATTCTGTTGAAAAGAACTCAAAAAGACCACAACAGGTCAGAGTGTTTTAACGCTATGGAGTCTTATTTGAAAGCTCTTGTGAACTGTATTTACACACCTAATAGTACTACCAAATGTGTGGCACCCTGCGGCACCCTTGAAAGGATCTCAGGTCACCCCAGGGTGCCATGGTACTTTGGGTGAGAATCACTTCCCTATACCCTACATTAACTTCACACACAAAGAACAAGGCTGCAGTCCAAGCACTGAAGAGATTAGAAAATACCAGAATCAAGGTTGCCTGTGTGGCCTCAGCTTGGCCTCTCACACAAACACTTTGGGAGACACTACTGAATTGTTTCCACAGGACCCTGCTTCAGAGGCAGAGGGCCTGGGAACTGAAATGCCTGGTCCTGGGACGGGGACCAGCCTGAGGATCCCAGTGTGTGGTACCCATGCCTGTGCCCCTCTTCAGTAGGCCAACCTGCCTCTTGCAGCATGGGGCCTGGAACCCTCCTTGCTGCTGCCCATGCACCCCAAGAGGCAGATACATTCTCCCAGGTCTCCCCTGTTCCTGTGTCCTGCAGTATAGACAAAGATGCAGCCTGCTACGGTTACAGTGTTCTTACAGTAGAAATAAAAATAAAGCAGGGATGGCTAATGCAGCACTAAACCACCTTCAACAGACAACTTATTTCTGTGAAGGCTCCTCCCAGCTCATGTCACAGGTGGTCACCCCTATGCTGGATATGAGAACTATGAAAGCTTGGACAGAGTCTCTTGCACAAAAAAGCAAGACAATGGGTGGGCAAGACTGGGTTGTGATAACAAGACTGCCATAAGAAAATCACACTCTACTAATGGCTTGCAACCCATTAGGTGTTGAGACAGTGGAGCTTGAGGTACCCAGTACCAGATCCATGCCATAAAATAATAAAAGTGATGGTTAAAAGTGTTGGCAGAGACCTGACACACTCATCACATGCATCTCCAAGCTAATAAAGCCAAAGAAAGAGGCTGAGTCAGTGTCACTAGAGGAAGGCAAGGAAACTACATATACATTTCAACTGAACTAGCAACTAAAGAAGACAAAAGATTAAATATACATTTCAAGCAAAACCTGTAAAAGATGTATTGAATATAGGAAAAATGTCCTGTACATGTCTAAGGCATCCAATGTCTTAAAGAAGTCCTTTTTTAAATACATCGGGTGTAAAAAGAAGGCACTGGGTAACGGGGGGCCCCTGCAGGACACGCTTGGCAATCTGGTGGTTGCACCCAAGGAAAAGGCAGACTTCTTTAACAAATTCTTTGCCTCCATTTTTCTGAGCAGGGACCGGGATTCTGGATGGACTCAAAAGAGGCACCGCCAGGCCTAGGGTCAGGGAGGACCTAGTTAGGGAACTTCTGGTGGGGCTGGATGTGTTTAAATCAGCAGGTCTAGATGATCTCCACCCCAGGGTGCAGAGAGAATTGGCAGGGGTCATTGCAGGGCCCCTGGCATGGCTTTACGAGCACCGGTGGTGGTCTGGCCAGGTGCCAGAGGACTGGAAAAAGGCCAACGTGGTTCCCATTTTCAAAAAAGGGAGGAAGGAGGACCTAGGAAACTATAGGCCTGTTAGTCTTACCTTGGTCCTGGGGAAGCTCTTTGAGAGAATTATCCAGGAGCACATCTGCAAGGGACCACCAGGGGAGATGATGTTCAGGGGCAACCAACATGGGTTCATTAGGGGCAGGTCCTGTCAGACTAACCTGGTTGCCTTTTATGATCAAGTCACAAAATCCTTGGATGCAGAAGTTGCGATGGACGTAGTCTTTCTGGACTTTAGGAAGGCCTTTGACACTGTCTCTCACCCCATTCTCATTAAAAAACTAGGCAACTGTGGCATTGATGCCTACACAGTCAGATGGGTCGCAAATTGGCTGAAGGGTCGAACCCAGAGAGTGGTAGTGGACGGGGCATTTATGACCTGGAGGGAGGTGGGCAGTGGAGTCCCCCAGGGCTTGGTCCTCAGGTCCATATTCTTCAACATCTTTATCAGCGACTTGGACGAGGGGGTGAAAAGCACCTTGTTTACATTTGTGGAAGACACTAAGATGTGGGGAGAGGTGGGCACACTAGAGGGGAGGGACAGGCTACAACTAGATCTGGACAGCAAAAGGCCACAGCAGCCCCCTTGGCTCTCCAGGGAACTAGTGGACCTCCTGCGTCTTAAAAGAAAGACCTACAAAGGATGGAGGACTGGATCCACTATCTAGGAGGAATACTTTGCGCTGGTCCAGACCTGCAGAGAGCAAACCAGGAAAGCCAAGGCTGCGATGGACCTCCAGCTAGCTACAAATATCAAGGATAATAAAAAGTCCTTTTTAGATATGTGGGGAGCCAGAGAAAAAGCAAGGGCAACACTGGACCTCTGCTAAACCAGATGGGACAACTGACAACTGATGCCCAGGAAAAAGCAAACTTGCTAAATGGGTACTTTGCATCAGTTTTCCACCAGTCCCATAAGACACCCCTGCCCACTGCAAGACAGGGAGGCCCAGGTGAGGGAGATACCTTACCCTCCATCAAAGCTGACCTCGTGAAGGAACACCTTGAGAGGCTGGATACCTTCAAGTCAGCTGGCCCTGACGGTTTACACCCCAGGGTACTCAAGGAGCTGGCAAGCATCATAGCCCAGCCTCTGGCACGGATCTTTGAGAACTCCTGGTGCTCTGGTGAAGTGCCTGAAGATTGGAAGAAGGCCAATGTGGTGCCTATCTTCAAGAAAGGGAGGAAAGTGGATCAGGCAAACTACAGGCCCATCAGCCTGACCTCTACCCCAGGGAAGGTCTTGGAAAAGATCAAAGAGGCCATCCTTAACATACTGGCTGACGGTAACATCCTGAGGGATAGCCAGCACAAGTTTGTTGCGGGTAGGTCTTGTTTGACCAATCTCATTTCCTTTTATGACCAGGTGACCTATCACCTGGACAAGGGAGATGAGATTGATGTCATATATCTTGACTTCAAAAAAGCCTTTGATCTGGTATCCCATGAACACCTCTTGGCAAAACTGGCAAACCGTGGCCTCAGCCTCACCACAATCCACTGGCTGGGGAACTGGCTCCACGGTAGGACCCAGAGAGTGGTGGTAGATGGAAGTCAATCATCGTGGTGCGTTGTGACCAGTGGGGTCCCTCAAGGCCCTGTCCTAGGGCCTATGCTATTTAACATGTCTACATCATTGATGAAGATTGGTGTCAGAAGCAGACTGGCCAAGTTCGCTGACAACACCAAACTCTGGGGTAAAGCATCCACACCTGAGGACAGGAGGGTGATCCAGGCAGACCTTGACAGCTAAAATAATAAAAGAACTAACAGCTCATTTTATATTGGGGACTGTAATAGCTCATGTATTGAATATTAAGAAAGAGTCTTTTTCTGTCATTTAGTTTTGTAGCTTGTTGGTAGTTATTAAAGCAAGTCTTTCTGCTATTCATCAACCGAGTGTCATGTCAATTCTTAGAGCACTAGGTTTAAAAACTCATTTCTAAGTGCAACACTCTCCTGAGGGAACTTTGGAACCATGAGATGCTCAGAAAATCCAGAGGATGTCTGCCAAGCAGCCACAGCCCAGCTGAGAGGGGCCAAGGCTCCCTGGGAGTGGGAGGGCAGTCAGGTTGATGAGGCAAGGACACCGGCTAGTGAAGGAGAAAGAGCTAAGGTTTGGGGCATTGGACAGTGAAGCAGAGAAGGAGGAAGGGGCAGAAGATAGGGTGGCAAGGGAAAGGAGAAGAGCAGCCTACCCTACAAGACAAATGGAGGAGCCCATGGAGAGAACCAGGAACAAATTCCCAAGGAGGGACCAGGGCAAGATTACAGAAGACAGAGAGAGAACAGAAGGGAAGATGTGCAGACAGAAGGTAGAAGACTGGGGACTTCCACTGAAAACAAGGGAAGAATCACAAAGAGACTTATACAGCCTCCATGTAAAGTTTTAGTATACAGAGGCACATCTACATGACATGCAGTAGCTACTGTGTGCGCCTATCTCGCTTTGAAAATTTGTTCATGTGCTGCCTTGGCACAGGCGCCAGGTGATAGACGCAGGGGGGTTTCGTGTAACCTTTGGTAGGGGCCTCCATCACCCCGGGGAGTACCCCAATACTCAGCTGCCATGACTTTGCACGTAACTTCAGTGGTGGGGTCTCCCGTTGGAGGTCCCTCGAGGTCGGACATTCCTCCCGATGGATATTCGCGGAGCTCCACCTCCCCTATACCCCTTCCATATGCCAGCCTACGATGGGTCGCCTGATGTCACTGTGGCTTATCCTCCAATCTTGATGGTCTTCATGCTCTCTTAAGTACCAGGTCATATTTCCACCTTAATGACTCACTCTCGTGTCCGTTGGATGTTTGCCTTCTCTGCAGATTTGTGTCTCAGGTTCGGTGCTGGTTACTGATTACTTCCCATGAGTGGCCCT